GCAATTATAATCAACCTGTCCCCCCCCCCATGCCCGAGCATCAAAAGGACAGGGGGGACAAATCCCCACGTACCCGACATTCCTGCAAATAAACTTAACCTGCAAACTAGCAGGCAAGGCTATCACAAAATTCTTGCCTATTTTTAAATACAAATTTGTTCAAAAATACTAACCTGTTTCACCTGTTCCAAAATACTAGGCTGTGACAAAATATTGCCTGTTCCAAAATACTAGCCTGTGATAAAAATAACAGGCTGTTCCGATATAGCATATTTAAAATATTAGGTGGTAGTTTTATTAATAATAGGTTGTTAAGACACAGAAGTAGAGCCACAAGGGGGGGGGGCTAGCAGTGAACTATCAATAACTTTAATATTTTTTTTTTTTTTTAAATTTAAACCTTAGAAACTCTATTTTTCATTAAGAAATTTAAGGCACCCTAAATGTATTTTAACAATATAATTGCAAAATAATCATTTCCTTAGGAGTGAAATAAAAAAAAATTAAAAAAAGGCATTTAATGATTTACTTCGATTTTAATTTTAATGAAACGAAATTTAAGTACTATTATTAATTTATGATTGGAATTAATATTTAAGTTTATAGAACGACATCTAGTTTTATCGGAACTAAATTTTATGACTTTTATTGCAGCTCTTTTATTTTTTAGACTATGAAAACACAGAAATTGAGCTTTACCATGATTTCACATATACGTTACAAAACTTATCGTATGCTACTCACGTCCCGCAGTGGACTGATCGTTAAATTCTGCTACACGGTTCCCATCAGATCACCGAAGTTCATCACTGTCTGCCGTCAGTGTGTGGATGGATGACCACTTGGATCAGTCTGCGTAGGGACCGAAGGTGTGCGGTACTGGTCGTCGTTAAATTGTTTCGTCGTAAAGTTCTCCAATTCGCGTACAGGTCGTCGGGCTACCGAAGCGGGGATGACATGACCTCTGTAGAGGATCAAAATTGTGATGGCATGTATTCGGATCATCCTCAGGGATGCTTCCCAAACCGTCGCCAATAGCCCATTGTGCAGCTCTTGTGCGACATAAATGAACTACAACGTATGCTACTCACGCGAGAAGTTTTTAATTCTTGCTGATACAAGTAAACAGTTTTTTAAAGTATATAAATTGCTTTAAAGTTCAGAAATATCATGTTTACACTTACAGGGAGGGGAAAAAAGACTGTCGAAAACATTTTGTTCTATAATCGGATTTTCACGTTTTAAGTGCTATCTATAATAAGTCAAATTCTTTGACTAAACCGATCTTTTGCTCGATGAATTTGGGTTATTTGTTTTTCCTTTTAATTCTATTTAGGCTTGTTAATTTTACTTTTTACGTATTCCATGCAAAAAAAAGAAAAAAATTAAATAAATAAATAAATAAAAAATTTAAACGAATTAAAAATATTCATTGTTATAAAATTTGTTTAACTAAGGGAAATACAATGTAATCTTTATGAAATTATTACTTAATTTATACTAATTTGTTTAATAATGGTTGAAACAATTTTGAATACCAAGGCGCATTAACTCATATATCATTTTAAACAACGTAATTTTAAATGACACAATGCGAAATTAGAATGAAGTCATGTCTTTTTGAAATTTCTTAACTTAGAAACGACTTGATCAATAATGTTCAAATTTTGCATTTTAAAATTACATAGTTAAAATGATGTAAAATTTACATAGCTTAAATTTTAGTTTTCTTCTAATGTTAAATAACAAACAATAATAGATAATTATTTAAAATTAATTTTTACATTCAATTTTCTTTGGATAAATAAATTTTATAATTGTGTGATCAATATTTTCAACTAGCTTTAAAATTTCTTGATATATGGCGATCTATACTCGTTAAATTATTAGATTTAAAACAGCTCTAAAAAAATTATAATACTAAAAATACAAAACTTGTATAGATCCTCGCAATGTCTGGCTACAGCCCTGTAATAATAAATAAAACGTGATTTTTTTTTTCTTATTGTAAAATGTGCAAAGATTGCCAAAAAACAGTTTAACATTTTTAAAAAGATAATTGAATTAAAATTTTTGCCTAGTATTTTGGAAAAGTCCTTCGGAAGTAACCTTTTATTTTTATAACAGGTATGATTAAATAACAGGTTCCAAATACCTGTTCTAGAAAATATTGGACATCTCTACTCCTTCCTAAAAGGAGTAATTAATATTCTGACCGGCAACGAGCAAGGTTGTCCGGCTTAAGCTCATTTGTTTATGTTTCACTTTCCTAATTTTTAATAAATGTTATTAAGTTTAATCTTGGTGTTTATTCAATAAGTCCATACACACGAACCGCTGATACCACACTTCTCTTATGATTTGATTTTGTGTATTTCTCGCATTTTTCCTGGACCTTTGCAAAACTTTCGGGGTACTGAGGGAGCAAATTTTGACATTTGTCTAACTCTCTCAATAGAATAGATTTTGTTTTATGACTTCCGGAACTGTTACCCCCTGAAGACGTCGGCTTCGGTGGTCATATTTTTATTTCCATTTTTTCCTTATTACTTGAATTTGATGCATATTTAAGTACGGATGTTTATTTTTAAAAAATCAGGGTAGTTTAACTTTTTCACCACTGAGAGAAATTTATAGATGAAAGAGTTGCCAACGAAACCAGCAAAAGCAAACATGCTGTCGAAATTTGCTGAAACACTAGATAAAAAGGTGAAATAAAACTAGTTTCATTGATTGATAAAACTTGGATGTGTTTCTAATAATGGTCTTTCAACTTCTCTCTGTTTGCACTTGAAAAGGAAAATAAATAAATGTGAAAATCAAACAAAGAAAAACTCCTGTACCCGAGAGAAACAAATCAAACAGGATTCCAGGGCATAAGCTAAAAAGATGCTCACATTGATGCTCTGGTATCGTGTTTCATACACATGAATGTTGAGTCTCAAGGTAACGAAATGGGTTCTCCAACTCTACATAGCCTTTGGGTATGCAGCTTGACCTGATTAGCCTCTCTGTGCCACCACAGTTTTCTTTATTTTTGCCTTTTCCCATATTTTTTTTTCTTTGGTGACTTTACAATATTTATTACAAATCTGCTTTGTTTTCCACATTAACCTCGAGAAAATATGTCGTAAGTGTTCGAATCATGTCTGGTTCTTTTTCTTCACCTCTATCGTTTTGGAATCAAATGAAGTTAATTCATTATCAATAAAATTTGTACTCTTTGTTGTTTTTAAATATTACTTATTTTTAAATATTAAAATAATGGGTAATAACACATTGTTACAGTAAAAGCTTTTTTCTATACTGACGCTTCCTCAATTTGCGTAAGATAAGTTGCAAACACTAATAATATTTTTATAAGTGGGAAACATATCTTATAGTTAAAAATATTCTTGCAAATTAAAAATATTCGTGAAAATTGAGAATTCCCTTCGAAATTAAGAATATTGTTAATAATAAAAGTTATTTTTGAAAGACAAAAGATTCTTGCAAATTAAAAATAATTTTGTAAATTAAAAAATTAGCCTGGAGTTAAGAATAAATATTCTTGCAAATTAAGAAAACGTTTGAATATTAAAAATATTCTTGAAATATAAGAGTATCCTTATAAATTAAAATAATCTTGAAATTTCAGTATAATCCTTGTACTTTAAAAAAATATTTGAAAAATAAAAATATTCCTGAAAGTTAAGAGTACTTTTAAAGTAAGATTATTTTGTATGCTCGTCAATACAGAGCATGTGAAGAATAAAATTATTCTTGAAAGTTATATATTGAGCTTTATATACTCAACAGCTTTATATATTGAGCTTTATATGTTCAACAGTTATAATTCAATTATATATTCAACAGCTTTATATATTGAGATTAATCTTGTAAATTATTCTTGACAGTTTTGAATATCTTTGAAAATTAAGAATATTTTATTAATTAAGGATATATTTTCACATGTTAAAAATATTCTATTATTTTGTTACGTAAAAAGGGGAAAATTTAAAAACTATCAAATCGCTGGTGAAGAAACGTCAAATATTTGATGTAAGATTTTTTTCTAAAATTTAATTTCTTTCAACTTTAAGTTAACTGTGAAATATTTTTAGAGAACTGAACTGAGGTTATCAATGGTAAAGAATAAAAGCAGAAATTTTCTAAAGTAACAGATTTATAAAACCATATTTAAAGAACAAAGATATTTATCTATGTGGCTTTTCAAATATCTATTAAAACTTATATGTTACGGTGGAAAAAATTATTTTAAATCTAATTTTAAAAATACAACTAAAAAAATGGGTTTTTGAAAATCAGGAAATTCTGAACTTGTGAAAGCATATGAACATTTAAACTAGAAAGTTTCTCTGAAAATTATTATCTAATTACGAAATTAGACGCTCATTACACAAAATTATGATTAGAAAAATATGATTTAATTAGTGTAAAAAGAAAGTTATCTTAATTTCTGGTTAATTTAATATAAATAAAGCAATTTTTGAATTGTTTCAGTTTTTTCGCTTGTTGAAATGGTACTTGTGTTGGACACTTTCAGCAGTCACCATCATATTATTATGGCGGTTTACTGTAAAAATAATGTTAAAAACAAGTTTTAATTATATTTTCAATTATAATTATAATATTTTAACAATAATTTTAACAAGTTATTTAATAATATTTTTAATTATATTTATAACATTTCAACAATAATTTTAACAAGTTATTTAATAATGTTTTTAACAAGTTTTAATGAGATTTGTTACATTTTAATTTCTTTTGTCGTAAACAGAGCTTACTAATGCTGTGAATCCTTGGCTGAATTGGCCAAGTTCTTTTAAAGATGCATTTTCTTGACAAAAGGACATATCGTGTTGATCAAAAAGATAATAAAAGATCGAATATTGCCTGCTTTTTGTCAACATTATATAAATTTTCTAAGGCACATGAGATTCCTGATTTTATTTTGACATAAATTGTTTCACTTTCAAAAATAAGAATTTTAAACATACCTTTAATTAGGTTCAAAGTAAAAGAACATAGTTTAGTGATTGAAGCGTATCCAATTCCAATTTACGAACGAGATCGTTCAATTGAAAAGATGCTTTAGAGAAGAAAGTAATTCGCGTTCTGGGGGTAAATTTCAAGTAGCAGGCTAAATAAAAGATCAAAACCGGACAAGGTAAGATTTATCCTCATTCAAATAAGTTGATAATTTGCCTTCTTCAAGGCTACAAGTAAGACTTGAATTAAATAATAGCTGTATTTATATCCATTTAACAAAGTACGCATTATTAAAATGAATGTACTTTTTGACCTTGTTAATCTCGATTCGCGTTTATTTTTCTAAAACTGTTGTTGCACATTTATAGGTGTAGTTTCATTACTGTTACACAATTGATAGTATCTGCAATAAACAAAAAAAAAAGGAATTTCTTTGGAAGGAGAAATGTTTGATTAAACTTAAGTACATTTAATGTAACACGCTCAAGTATTTTTAAACAAATCAGAGCAATTATGGTTTTTCAAACAGATACAGTGCTATCAATATTTTTAAATAAAATGTTTTAAATAGATTCAGCACAAAAATCAAGAGTTTTCAAGGAAATACAATAAAATATGGGCTATTTTAAATCGATATAAAAACATCAGATGTTTTTTTTATACATACTTCATAATCAGGTAGTTTCAAACATATCACAATCATGGGTTTTCGAATATATACATCACAATCAGGTGGTTTCGAACAGATTGCAATCATGGGTTTTCCAATAGATACCACGCAATCAGATGGTTTCGAATGTGGTTGTGTATGATTTGCATCACTCTATATTTATAAACAATACATTACCCCAAGTAGCAGAATTTACGGAGTGAATCCAAATCACTATCCTCACAGGTCCAAATTTATCTGCGACCTTAACGCAGTCGGATAGTAGATCTCTCTTTTAAAAATTCAGCTTAATCTAGCATACCTGTAGCAAAATTTGAAAGCATAAGATCCTTACAAATATACATAAAAACTTTATGTTATTTAAATTGATGTTGAATTTTATACAATGACAGTAAGAAAATGGAATAAATCCTCATATAGTCAAGAATGTAATCAAATAACAAAAAAAAAACTTTACTTTTCATTCTTTGCGATATTGTCCAATTCTGCTTTTTTCTTTCTTCATTTTTATTCGAAGAAATTTTAGGGATAATTTAAAATAAAAAAGAGTCTTAGTGATCTTTTTGGCTGTTTGCATTTTAAAAGGAAAAAGAAAACTTAGATCTTAACTTAAATTATCTTAGATTGACTTAGATTAGAAAACATAGATTATCTACAGAGATAATGTAATAATTTGCAGCACCTGTTGCGCTGCTTTAAAGAGTTTTTACTTCCGGAACATTAGCTTTGTCAAATTCGCTTTTTTAAGAAAAAGTGACAATAAATATTATTTTTCACTGTTTCTAAACAAAATTAAACGCTTGACTTAAAAACATACTAGTTGTTTAAAAGAGTTAAACTTTAAAAGACTTCTATATTCATTTGCAATATGCAACAATTTTTATTAGATTTTTATTATAAACATGAAAATTTCAACAATTGTTAAAATAGAAATTTATTTATTTATTTATTTCACGTTTTTATTAACTCACTTTAGCTCCTGAGCCTGGAATCGCTTTACAATGATTGTATTAACTTGTTTTTGTGACTGTGAGAGTGGAATTTTGTCACTATGTTTTCATTAACTGGATTTTCGTGACTGGGAGTATGGAATCGTGTAACATTTTTAATTTTTGCTTTCGTTTTTTATGAAAGTGAAATCTAGATACTATGCTTTCATTAACACCCTTTTGCTTTTGCGAAAGTGAAATCGTGTCAATGGAAACAGTGTCTCCGTTAACTCACTTTCGTTTTTATGAAGGCAGGATCTTGATGCTTTGTTTTCATTGACTCTTTTTTGTTAATGTGAAAGGGAGATCGTGTTACTGCGTTTTTCACTTTCGTGTTTATGACGGCGGAAAACTGATACTTTGTTTTCATTAACTCGCTTTCATTTCGTACCAGGGAGGTAGGAATACTGTAATTAAGTTTCAAATTTTCGCTTTCATGTTTATGAGGGCGAGATCTTGATGCTTTGTTTTCATTGACTCATTTTTGTTTATGTGAAAGGGAGATCGTGTTACTGCGTTTTTATTAACTTAATTTCGTGTTTATGAGGGCGGAAAATTGATACTTTGTTTTCTTTAACTCGCTTTCGTTTCGTGCCAGGGAGGTAGAAATACTGTAATTAAGTTTCAAATTTTCACTTTTATGTTTACGAGGGCGAGATCTTGATGCTTTGCTTTCATTGACTCTCTTTTGTTTATGTGAAAGGGAAATCGTGTTGCTGCACTTTTATTAACTCACTTTCGTGTTTATGAGATTAGAAAATGTATACTTTGCTTTCATTAACTCGCTTTCGTTTCGTGCCAGGGAGGTACAAATACTGTAATTAAGTTTCAAATTTTCACTTTCATGTTTAAGAGGGCGAGATCTTGATGCTTTGTTTTCATTGACTCTTTTTTGTTAATGTGAAAGGGAGATCGTGTTACTGCGTTTTTATTGACTCACTTTCGAGTTTATGAGGGCGGAAAATTGATACTTTGTTTTCTTTAACTCGCTTTCGTTTCGTGCCAGGGAGGTAGAAATANTTATATAAACGTATTTTATAATGGTGCGTAAAATGTTTCCAATTCTTCTAAAAAAAATTTGAGATATGACGAAATTCGCAAAAAGTAAAATTAACAATACCCCTTATTGTATTTCTAACTTTGGATTGCTCTCCTGAACAAACTTTTTGAATCATATTTTTCAGATTGCGAATACCCCATTATTTTGGGGGTCCGAAATCCTAATTCGTCTAAAAAAAGGCATGTTTATTCAGAGAAAGTACGTTTTTGTGTCTTATTTCGCAACTTAAGTATGGTCTGCACTAATTAATTAGCATATATGAGGTCATACCCTCGAATCATTAAAATTAAGCCCTAGAACGTCAACATCCGACCATTAAATCAAAAGTTATCCAGCATATATTTTTTTTAATTTTGCTCATTGCACAAGAAAAAAATCATTGTAGAAGCCTAATCTAGACTATCATTCTTTTATTTAACCATTCATTTGTAACTACCAGCAAGTATTGCATAATCAATGATGTACAGTTAAAACAAAAATTCTCCCTTTCATTCGTTTTTAATAATAAACTGAAAGAAAAAAAAATATTATAAAGAATAAGGTACTAAATCTTTTAAATAATTTTACTTTCTGCTAATCACCGCTTTCACGTTTTTAACATTACTGATATAATTAAAAAATAGAACTTTTTTTTGTTGTCATGCAATAATTGATTATATGATGATTGTAAGCTTTGTCAATGCTGGATTATTCAAATTCGTACAATAATTATTTCTACTCATCTTGCAAGCAATTTCAATACTAATAGATTTCATTTTTAAGCCAGATAAATTATTATTTCTCAAATTATAATAACTGTCAAATTATAATATCTACAGAAATTATAATATCTGTCAAATTATAAATTGTTTAAAATCTTAATTTTAAAATAAAATGTTTCTTTTCTTAAATCAAATAATGAATCATAACTTTTCATTAATAATTTAAGTTCAAAAAATTGGGTAAAATCTTTAAAAACGAATTTAAGTTCTTTTAGATATTTTAGCTTGAGAGTTAATTTAACTGAGTTTATTAAGGATGCATATTTAAGTACGGATGTTTATTTTTAAAAAATAAGGATAGTTTAACTTATTCACTACTCAGAGAATTTTATAGGCGAAAGAGTTGCCAACGAAACCATAAAAAGCAAATATGCTCTCGAAATTTGCCGAAACACTAGATAAAAAGGTGAAATAAAATTAGTTTCATTGATTGATAAAACTTGGATGCGCTTATATTAATGGCCGTTCTACTTCTCTCTGTTTACACTTGAAAAGGAAAATAAATAAATATGAAAAGCAAACAAAGAAAAACTTCTGTAATCGAGAGAGGCAAATCAAACAGAATCCAGAGCATAAGCTGAAAAGATGTTAATCAAGATGCTCTGGTATCTTGTTTTAAGCACATAAATGTTGAATCCCAAGGTAACGGCATGGGTTCTTCAACTCTACATAGCCCTTGGGTATGCAGCTTGACCCGATTAACCTCTCTGTGCTACCACATATTTTTAAAAAGTTTTTTGCCTTTTTCCTTATTGTTTATAGATTTTCTTTCTTTGGAAACTGTACAATATCTATTACAAATCTTTGTTAATTCATTTTCAAGTAAATTTATACTCTCTGTTATTTTTAAATGATACTTATTTTTAAATATTAAAGTAATAGGTAATAAGACATTGTTATAGTAAAAGCCTTATTTTATAATGAATCTTCCTCAATTAGTATAAGATTAGCAGCAAAAGCTAATAATATTTTCATAAGTGGGAAACATACAGCTAAAAATATTCTTGTAAATTAAAAAAAATCGTGAAAATTGAGAATTCCGTTGTAAATTAAGAATATTATTAAAAATAAAAGTTATTCTTGAAAGACAAAAGAATCTTGCAAATTAAAAACAATTATGTAAATTAAAAAATATACTTGGGAGTTGAAAATAAATATTCTTGCAAATTAAGAAAATTTTTGAAAATTAAAATTATTCTTGAAATGTAAGAGTTTCCTCATCAATTAAAATTTTAGTATAATCCTTGTACAATAAAAAAATATTTGAAAAATCAAAATATTCTTGAAAGTTAAAAGTTCTTTTAAAGTAAGATTATTTTGTATGCTCGTAAATTCAGAGTACGTGAAGAATAAAATTATTCTTGAAAATTAAGTACAGCTTTATAAATTGAGAATAATCGTGTAAATTATTCTTGATAGTTTTGAATTTTTTTTTCAAATTAAGAATATTTTATTAATTAAGTATATATTTTCGCGTGTTAAAAATATTCTATTATTTTGTTACATAAAAAGGGGAAAATTTAAAAACTATCATATCGCTGATAAAGAAACGTCACATATTTGATAAAGGATTTTTTTCTAAAATTCCACATCTTTCAACTCTAAGTTTTATGTGAAAACAATTTAGAGAACTAAACTGAAGTTACCCATGGTAAAGAATAAAAGCAGAAATTTTCTAACATAACAGATTTAAAAAACCGTATTTAATGAACAAAGATATTTATCTATGCGGCTTTTCATATATCTATTGAAACTTGTATGTTATGGTGGAGAAAATTCTTTTTAAATATTTGTTAATAATAAATATTTTCTTAAAATATTTGTTAATAATAATTTTAAAAATATTTGTTACAACTGGTAAAACTGTTTTTTGAAGAATCAGGAAATTCTGAAGTAATTCTTAAAAAAATAGTCCAATTATGAAATTAAACGCTCATTACTCAAAATTGTGATTCGAA